TTTAAGAACTATAGTTATTAATACCTATAATTATAAATTCTATAATTGTTCTACCATATTAATATGCCAGTCTGTTTTTTACCAGACTAACTATATGATGTTTAACTTCATGTATGTTACACATTTCAGACTCAGGTCACATTTTCTGATAATGTTATAAGAACTTCTTTTAAACCTGAATTTGTTGTTTTTACAAAAAGGTTTGTTAGCTTATTAGGGTTTCTTTTACTTTTTTTTTTTTTTTTTGAACATAGACTATAAGGAGTAGTACATAAAACATATGTGTACCTTAAAGAATACTTATAAAGTAAACCCCTCTCCATGAAACCCACTTACTAAAACCTTTAGAAGTCCTCTTAATGTTGTCATATAGTTTGGCAATTTCTTATTACTGTGACTATTCCATTTAGATCTTTTCTCCTCTACTTTCTCTCACTTTGCATTTGCTAATCTCTTTTACTGGAAAATATTGTTTTTGTTAGAAATACTATATTTGGGGATACATTTTTTCTTTTCAAATTAGTGTAGTTTCTCTTACATATTAGACACTGCCTTAGCCATTGGGGTTACAGAGATGAGTGATTTTAGGGATTCATTAAGGGAACTGATGCAAAGATAATGGTTGAATTGAATGTCTCTCAATGAAATACTGTAGATCATTCAATTTGAGTATTATTATAAATAACCTATTATCACAGAAGCTTTTTATTTTTATGAGATTATAAATTATAAGTAGGCATAATGAATATGAATATTCCAAATCTATCATCTACTTTCAGTAGCTTGGTGAATATCTTTCCAGATATATACATATAATACCCATAATATACATATTATTCTTTTCATCTAATGGTATATTTTAACTATTTTTTCCAAATCAATAAATATTTATCTACAGGATTACTTTTGATGGCCAAGTGGTATCCCATTAGTATTATCATTTATTAACTGGTCACCTATTGTTGAAAACTTTGCCTAAAATTAACATCTTCTGGCTAAATTCTTGCAAGCATACTTAATAACTTCCATAGGATAATTTTTAGAACACCTGAGGGTCACTGAGTATGTACATTATGTAAACATTTTAATATAGTGCATAACAGGCATTTATAAAACAGAAAAGTGCACAAATCATATGCATAGTTTGATAAAATTGCCCAAAGTGAATGCCACCACGTACCTAGCACTCTGCTTAAGAAACAGTATTACCAGCCACCCAGGAGCTCACCATGTTACCCCTTCCTGTTTCTACCCCTGTTGCAAGGGTAACTACTGTACTGGCTTACAACCAAGTTTTGCTGTTTTGGAATTTTCTATATATAAGTGGAATCATATATGTGTACTATTTTGTGTCTGACTTCTTCTTTATACAAATGTTTTGTCCATTAATATGTATTGTTAATTTCCCTGGAAAAAGGTTATTTTAGTTTATTTTCCCAACATGAATGCCACATTTCTTACTAAACTGTGGATATTATAATTTTAAAAATGTTTTCTCCAACATGATCAAGGAAAATTGTATCTGGTTGTTTTAATTTACTTTTTTTTCCCTAATTAGGTCAAACATTTTTTTTCAAATGCTTATTATTAATCATTTCATTTTTCTTTTATAAATTTTCTGCTTTGTCTTTTCTTAATTTCTTTTGACATATTGTGTTCTTACTAATTTGTAGTAGTTCAATGTGCAGAGAACAAGTGACCTTTTGTTTTACATATATCTTAAATACAGAGGGTGTCAAAAAAAGATGTACACACATTTTAACAAAGGAAAAAACTATTAAAATTGTAATAATATATACAGATAAAAGATGAATACAAGTCATGTGTATACATTTTTTTGGCACCCCGGTAATCTCAGATTTGTTGCCTTTTAATTTTGATACTAAAATGTTTAATTTCCCTTATATTAAGTTTCTGCCTTGTGTGTGGTACTTACGAAACCTTCTTCAATTCCGAATTTTATAAATACTTGGATATATTGGTGGAATTTCACTCTTTCACCCTCCTGCCTTACCTCTCCCTACACTGATCTTTATGATTACATAGGCATACATTGAAAATCCCACCAGATGATGTTATAATTTTTGCCTTAAACAGTCATAAGTATTATAAAGGAATTCAGAGGGAAAATGTAGTTTTTATGTTTACCCAACTCTTTATCATTTCTATTCTTATCTTTGATGTTTCAGGTTTCCTTCTAGTATTTATTATTGCCCATCAGCCTGAAGAACTTTAAAATGTCTTCTGAAAAGTCCATTGGCAATGAATTATTTTAGTTTTTCTTCACTTAAAAATGTCTTTATTTTACCTTTATTCCTGAAGGACATTTTTGCTGGATATAGAATTTCGAAAGGTTTTTTTTCCTGCTCCAGTAGAGTTTTCCTTTTGATCTTGACCTCCAATGACATGTATGTTAGATTCACAGGTCCCTGAGGCTCTGTGGATTTTATTTCAATCTTTTCCCCCTGGTTTTTCAAATTAGATAATTTCGATTGATATACCTTCAAATTCACTGCTTTTTTTTCTTTGTTATTGCCATTCTGCAGTTCAGCGCAGGGAGTTTTTTGTTTCAGTTATTGTATTTTTCATTTCTAAAATTTCCATTTGGTTCTTTTTTTATAGTTTCTGTTTCTCTACTGAGAATTCCTATCTTTTGTTTCAATGTGTTTTCTATTACGTACCTACTTTCTATTACCTCATACCAGCATAGTTATAATTTCTGCTTTAATGTCTTGTCTGATAGTACCATCATCTGAGTCATCTGAGAGTTGGCATCTGTTGATTGTCTTTTCTCTTGAGAGTTGATTACATTTTCCTGGTTCTTTGTGTGTTGAGTAATTTTGGATTATATTCTAGATGTTGTGCATGCTATGTTGTGTGGATTTTTAGTTGTTTTACAATTGTCTGGAGAATGTTGATGGTAGCAGGCAGTCAGCCCAGTTAAATTCAGAACATAAGCTCTGTCAACAGTGCCTGGACAGACAGTGGTTCAAATCTCAGTTTCATTCTCCAAGCATTTGCTATACTATTTTGGGTCTCTTCTGCACATATGTACTTTAGGAATTAGTCTGAGACTTGTACAGGTTTTTCAAATCTCAGTTTAGTTCTCTAAGCCTCTACTTGTGGTCTGGGTTTTCCCCACAGACGTTTTTTTCAGGGATTAATCCTGAGACTTGTGCCAGTGATTCAGGTTTTAGTTCAGTTCCCTCAGCCCTTGTTATTTTGGTTTGGATCCAACCTGAGCTGTATAGTTCAGGGTTAGGCTGTGCAACTTCATACATGGAATTAGGGGATCCTCTTCTCTAGCTCTCTCCTCATATTTGTCCCACACTCTCCATTTTTTTGAGTTGATAATTATTAGTTCCATCTAAGGTTAGACATTCAATTATTTAATAAAATGTACTGACTATGTAATAAGGCTAGCTATATTTAAGAAACTGAAGACTAAAAAGGTTAACTAAAATTTATGGAGAACCTGCTATATAACAGACTTATGTTGAGTAAAGGGCATAGAAATATAAATTACACATAGGCTTTGTCATAAATAAGTTGCAATCTGCAAACTAACTAAAACATAGTATAATAAGTACTGTAGTAGAATTGTTTATCATAACGCACTCAGCAAATATTGTGCACAATGGGCCAGGCACTGCTTGGGCACTAAGGATATAGTAGTGAACAAGATAGACATAGAGGAATAAATTTAAGAAAACAGTTAAATTGTCAATGGAGAGGTATCAGGAAATCAACTGAAAAAAGTTATGTCTTAGAAATGTTCTTATTACCTACATGGTTTTCTATAATAACCTCTAGCTGAGTACTACATTGCTTTGTAATTCTATGTGACAGAATTATAAATAGTATTTTGATTCTCTCTTGGTATCTAAAGTGTAATGAACCTCAAGGATAAATATTGAATTTGGTTTGGATTCAATCCATATTAATCCTACAGATCAATAACACTTCACATTCTCAACAAAAGCAGTAGAGTACACCAATTAGCTTTATAGTGATTTTTCAATAATCAGTGTCCTGTTTTTAATACTCTATAAGCTTTATTTAATGCCAGTTTTAAAAATAGATTAAGTCAAGCCAATCCCATTAGTGAAAGAAAGAGGAATGGTATCACTTAAATATAAAAAAAACAACAAAAAATATGAAAATTATGTATTCATCTGAATATGTTAATTTCTTTTAGAGACTTTTTTGTGCTATCACAGTAACCCTTAGAGTTACTTCAGAGTTTCTCCTTTGGGTATTGCTTAAACGTATTTTCTGTTTGAGCACTTTTATTGATAAAATGATTTCTATTTTATTTTTAGAAAAAATTAACATTTAAATATTCCATTGACCTCATCGCAAAAATATTCATAATGTTTTGCTTTAAAATTGGACGTATGATATCAGAAGAAATTAAATAAGCTGTCTTTGTATAAAAGAATATGTTTTAGTTATTTATTGCTGTGTAACAAACCACCCCAAAACTTAATTCCTTGAAGTCACAGTCATTTAGATTTGTTTCTGATTCTGTAGTCTGGACTGGACGTATCTAATAGTTCTTCTGCTGGTCTCTCTTGGGGTCTTTTATGCTGCTACAGTTGTCTGGAGGCCTGGAGACTTGACTAGAGCTGGAAGGTCCAAGACGGCTTAACTCGCATGGCAGCATCTGAGTGGGAGAGTCTGGATCAGCTAGAGGCCGGCTCATCCTGTCTCCATGTAGTTTCTCACCTTTCAGTAGTCTACCATGATCATTTTTCCCAATAAGACATATTGATTAGCCTTATTATCCTTATTATTATATACTTTCTGTGAGGAAAAGCCAAATTATATTACTTACTTTTGCTTACAACATCTTTTCCAGGATAAATAGTGACCTGCCATAAGTTTAAGAGGTGTCTAGTCTTTGAAAGGGTTTCTTATTTGCCATGTTTAAATGACTGAGTAATTATGTCATGTAATTAGATTGATAATTATTTATGTTCCTTTTCTTTTTTTAACAGGCAATTGCTGGCTACTTTGATATATATTTTGAGAAGAATTGCCACAAGAGAGTAAGTATCTTGAGTTGTCTCATAAGAATTAATTATGTGAAATACATTGTATTTTATTTTTGTGCCCCAAGGTGTTTGATCATAAGCATTTTGCTGTTGTAAGCAATTGGAGCTTGTATTTGATGTAGTAGATTAATGTACCATGATATTAAAAACCTTGTACTTCATCAGATACTTTTGAACTCTACCAATGCAGGTCTTGTTCTCTACGGGCCCCCAGAGCACCAAAACACACTGGAAACAAACAATATTTCTATTGGAAAAGCCATTTTCAGTTAAAGCAGGTGAGGAAAAAAAGATAAAGGGGGGCAAATGTCTTATTAATTCTGAACAATAGGCATTCATTTTGCAACCACTTTTTATGTGTCCTATATTTGAAGCAATATAACAGAGGTTAACATAAGATGTTCTTAGAGCCGACCATCTATCTATATAACTGGTATTTATTAAGTTGTAAATATAACCGAAAGAAAATATTTTCATTTCTCAAGTGCCTAAAGAGAAAAATCACCAATAGAGTTAAAGTATAAATTAAAGAGAATGTCATTCAGTTGTGATCGTATTCAAAATATATTATTCTAGAAAGCACTCCACAGTCTCCACCTCTTCAAATCTTACACAGTGTTCAAGGACTGGTCACTTCTACATTCCTTTACTGTATACCTCATTGATGGTTCATTGATATGAGCACCCATAGTGCTTACACACTACATACTTAGCTTCAAAAGTTAGAATTTGATTATGGAACCATTTTTTTTTAATGTTTATTACATATAAGTTATCTTGTCCCACCTTTACTAAAAGCTTCCTGACTGTAGGAAAGCTGAATATACAACAAACGTCAATGGAAAGATACTCAAAATCACTAGTTACTCAGGGAAAGGATAATTAAAACTATTAAGATACAACATCTTATCCATCACTATGGGGAAAAAAATACATAAACTCTAACAGTGTCAAATGCTGTCAATAATGTAAACAAATGTAACTTTTGTACTCTTGCTGGTAGTCTTAATTGGTATAACTTTAGAGAATAGTTTGATACCATCAAGTTAAGTCTAGACTTACCATCCCTACAGCCACACAGTTTTTTTTCTAGGTATGCACTCTAAACAGCCTCTCCCACAACCTGTGAATAAGGGCCTTCACAACCATATAGTTTGTAGAAGTGAAAGTTGGAAGTGACCTTAATATCCATCATCAGAAGATACATAAATATGGTAGTTGCATATATTAAAATATAGCAGGTAAAATAAATCATGTGTGTGTGTATTAACAAATAACATTGAGCAGAAAAAAATGCAGATTGAGTCCTACAATATACTGCTTATGTGAAGTTTAAAAACGTAAAACAACTATACACACACACACACACACACACACACGGCAAAAGTAAGAAGCAACGCTTAAGAATGGTAACCACTGAATTCAGCGTAGTGGTTGCCTCTGGGAAAAGATAGAAATAGGATCAGGAAAGGCTGCAAAGGAGGTTCAGTGCCATATATCTAAACTATTGGGTTGTCAGAAAAGTCATGACGCATTTTTGCAACGAAAAACAGAAAAATGTCATGACTTTTCCGACAACCCAATATTTCTTTTAAAATTTGAAGGAACTGTGGGAGAATGTTAATATATGACAAAGCCAAGCAGTGGGTTCCCAGGTCATGATTATATTATTCTCTATATGTTTAAAATATTTCATAAAATGCTAATATCATTTTGATTTCACTGTTGATGCATAAGTTGAATTTAGTAGATACAAATAAATACTATTAGAGTAAAGCAGCACCTTGTTGTTACTTTTCACTTTGAGGTTGCAATGCTATGGAAATAAAACCTTGATAGTGTCATTTTCTCTTCCTCCAAAAAGCTTGAGCACAGGCAAAACTGAAATGAGGCAAACACAAATGAGATCTTTTCACATCCTCATTTTTTTTTGTTTATTTTGTTTTCTTGTAGCTCTGGTATTTGGGTTGATGTTTGGAAACTTGAAAATGTTATGTTCCTCTACATTGTAACCATTTTGTTGTCCTAATGCTAGTATTTTAAAGGAATATTAATTCATTTTTAACCTTGAGAAAGATTTAAGATAGCATTTGAAAATTCTCCTGCCTAATTACAACAAAATGTTATTTAATGTCTCATGAATTTTTGAAATTTTGTTATTTACCTAGTAATCTTTAGAGTAATTGATTTGACTTTTCAGAATACAATGAAGGAGATGTATAATTCTAAGGTTGCCCACTGACACTGCCTCTATTCTGCCTCCTTCACTGCCATTGTGTATGTACCTGTATTTAAGTAGTAAGGCCAACACATCATAAAGTAGTAGAATCCCCTAAAATAGCACATCCTGAGGAAAGATTTGAAGGGCAATTTCAAAGTAAGGAAACTGTGATCATTCTCAGCTATGGAAGTATAAAGAAAGGATCATGTAAGTTAATAAATATATCACTTTTTAAAAAAAAACCCTGCTAAGCCTTTGATGGCTCTAGTGAACAGAAAAGTCAGAAGTTGTGGGGAAGAATACTGAAGAGGACATGCTCATCAGAAAGAGCTCTAGAAGTCTGCATGGAATGTCCCCTTGAGTTTTAGATGAGTACTAAGATGTGTATATATAGGATGAAATGCCTGACATCAGGCACAGCAGCTGGGTCAGCTGTGCACCAAACAGTTCTCAGAGTTTACAGAGCACTGTGTATTCAAGTTTCCCAGCTCGAGTGGGGAGTCCATGTGGACCTTATTCAGCAGAGATTCAAGGAAGACCAGAGCTATCACTAGTGGACTAAACTATCCCTTGAGTAAAGGCTACTCTGAATGCTCCCTAATGAAGCTTAAAAACAATCCTTGAAAGGAAAAAAAGAAACAAAACAACAACAAAAAAAGCGCAACTGAACCGTAAGTAACGTTAATGGCAACAAAGGAAAACAACAAAACTCAGACACTCAACAACATAAAATTCATGACGGCCAGCATTCAATTCAATTTCCTACTGAATGTAGGAAAATACCAGTCAATAGAAAAAGACCCAGAAATGATGGGATTAGCACACAAGCATGTTGAAACAACTACTTTTATATGAACATAGTAAGGAGAATGTTAGAAGATATTTAAAGTCCAAATAGAACTTCCAGAGGTGGAAATTACAGTATCTGAAGTGAAAATATAATTGGATGGAATTAGCAGCAGAAAAGATGAGTGAGCTTTAAGATATAGCATTAAAATATATCCAAAATGAAGCACAGAGCAGGGGGATAAAAAGATTTTTTTTAAATGAACATATCTACAGTAACCTGTAGGAAAATATGAAACACTGTAATTTAAATGTAATAATAGGAGTCATTGGAAGAAGCGGGGGCAGAAAATATATTTTGAGAAATAATGCCAAAATTTTCTTATATTTGATAAAAACTATAGCCTACGGATGGAATAAACTTGGTGAACCCCATGTAGGATTAACAAAACAAAACCAACACACATCATAAATTGCTGCTAAATAGTGATAATTTTTTTTTAATCTTTAGCATTAACCAGGGAAAAGGGAAATGTAGAGACAGGAACAAAGAATAACTTCAAAATACTCATCGGAAATTATGTAAGCCATATGATAATCAAATGACATTTTCAAAGTGCTAAAAGAAAGCAACCTAGATTCTATATCTAGAATAAATATATTTCAAAAATGAAGACTAAATAAAAACTTTACAAGAAGAAAAATGCTCAAAGAATTCATCTCTAGCAAACCAGCAAAATGATATATTAAAGCAAGTTCTTCTAAAGGAAGGAAAATGCAAAAACTGTACGAGTGCATAAAAAGTCCCTTATCTCATATATTAGCTTATTAAAAGATAATAGACTATTTAAAGCAAAAGTAATGTATTGTGGGTTTCAAAACATGGAGACATAAAATGTTTGGCAATGATAAAAAAAATTGGAAATATATTGTGAAGTTCTCACACTGTACATGAAGCAATTTAATGGTAAACTGATGAAATAGGTATGTATAATGTAAACCCAGAGCAACAGCTAAAATATTTTTAATTCCACCACAAAATACAGCTAATAAGCTAATAGTAGAAATAAAATAGAATCATGAAAAAAAATTCAATTCAAAAGAAGATAATAAACAGATGGACAAATACAATGTGTGATCAAGACAGTGAATGTTTAAATTAAAATTATTACAGTAAAAGACACATTGCCATTAATCACCCTCAAAATATTCCCCTTTGCTTCAAACACACTTATCCCGTTGTTCTTGCGACTTTCTGAAAGCAATTCTGGAAGTCCTCTGTTGTGAGTGTTATTAGTTGTGCTGTCATGGCTGTCTCGATGCCCTGAATCGATTAAAAAACCTTTCATGGTCATTTTGACTTTGGGGAAGAGCCACAAGTCTCACAGTTCCAGATCCAGTGAATAAGGTGGATGAAGACATGCCATCGTGTTTTTATTTGACAGAAATTGCTGTACCAGAAGCCATGTGTGACATGGAGCTTTCAATTGTGATCACAAAATATGGTGAATCCTGTGCTGAGTGCCATCCAACTGAAAGACAGGGATCTCAATATGGGAAGCAGCGCATCGAACCTTAGTAACAGTGTGTGAAAAGTTTCAACTTGTTTAGTGTAGTCAGTTGGGTGTGAGCTATGGTTGGGAGAAGGTGTGTTTTAAAGTGTGCAGTCAGTCATCCTCTATCATGACAGTGCTCCGTGTCACACATCGCTTCTGGTATATAGTCAAAATGATTCAGGACATGGAGGCAGCCATAACAGCACAACTAAAGAGACAAAAGACAACTTCCAGAGCTGTTTCAGAAAGTGACAAAACAATGTGATAAGTTTTCGAAATGAGGGAGAGTATTTTGAGGGGGGGATCAATGGCAATGTGTCTTTTATTCTAATAATTTTTTTTTATTTAAACATTCACCTTATTGTTTGATCACACCTCACATGTAACACCAAGAGTGAACCCTAAGGTAAACTAGATTTTCAGTGATTATGATATGTCATCAATGTAGGTTCATTCTTGGTAAAATGTACCGTCCTGATAAGTGATGTTGATAATGGGGGAGGCTGTGCATGTGGGGGCTAGAAGATAGGGGAAATCTCTGTACCTTCTTCTCAGTTTTACTGTAAACCTAAAACTGCTCTAAAAAAGTAGTGTTAAAAAAATATATATATGAAAGGTCTAAACGTGCCAATTAAAAGGCAGAAATATACTAATTAAAGTAGAAACTAACTAAATGCTGTCTATAGGAAACACACTTAAGTATAAAGACACAGTA